AATGGCTTTAAATATTATGGAATAACTTGTGTTCGGTAAATGTTTTTTTATGTACAGTATTATGTATGTGCTTTTATTTTAATAATTCTTTCTTTTCTAATCGCATTTTAAAATACCTAAATATAAATAATTACAATTCTGGTTAATTAATTTAGATTATTAGTTCAAAGCGTTTAATAAACCTAAAATATTTACAAAGCATATTTAAAATAATTTCTAAACTTAGTACTTATTAATATTCCATGTGTATTTATTATTAATTACTATTAGAATTCCAAATATGTAAAAAGAAATTTTTATTACAAATGTAACGTGAATGCTTCTGCTTCCGCATAATATGATGTTCCCGCGTTAGTTATTTACGTTTCTTTGGACACACAAAAATGTTGCTTGTCGAGATTCGAGGACATTTTCCTATCGAGTGTTCAGGCAGTTGTAAGAGGGGCATGAAAAGATATATGGAAAATAGACCTTTACCAAAATCTGTTCACTTCAAAAACCGTATATTTTATTAAAAGCATTTAGTAATACGTATGTAGATAGAATATTGGGCTAGGACTTGACATATTTTTTATTGCAAAATACCTTGTATTATTAAAGTTATAAACAATTGAAGTTCAATAACAAATGAATAATTCATGTCACAGATCGTGACTAAAATTTGTCATTTCCTGCATATAGTCTTCAGTAAAGGGTTTCCTGAAAATTGGATTGAAATGCGTACTAATAATGACAATGAACAGATTTTTGTAAAATTATTAATTGTCAGCCATGTTTATCAGCCGCGATGTGCACCCAAGCGTATATACCTACATATGCATACAGGGCATTTTGGACGTTCTGTCACAGATGGCTGTACCGATGCCGCTTTGCAGGAACCTGTTTTGTTTTCGCAGTAATTGATGATAGCATTGCCTAAGTAAGGGCGTGTTCACATGAAACGGTCGGCGTTGTCGGACGATGTCAGGGTGCTTTTTTTAATACACACACTAGAAAGAAACACAGGTATCACCCGACAATGCCAAGTGTTTGATGTGAATATACCTTAATACCTCAATCAAGGATGATGGTTTTGGCGGTTTACACTTTGGTAATATACGTATAGGGTGTTTTATAATATGTGGAACAAACTATAAGGGTGATAAAGGACCTCTGAAAAAAAATTTCTCTAAACAAATGTCCAAAACTCATTCATTTTCGAGGTTGTTAAAAATTTTAATAAAACTATTGATTAAATTAAGACAAACTACATTTGGTACACAATATCTCCTTGTGCATCGGCACATCTCATACCTATGTTGAATCAGTCCACTCCATTTTTTTGTGTGGATCATAATTATGAAATCGAAAGTTTCATAACTATACTCGGCGGCCGAAATTATAAAGAGTGACTAATACATAATATAAAAACACTATTACCATAATGCGTATAAAATATAAAATGATTTCTATAAGGTTCAATATTATTTATCTTTGTGCCGCTCGCCATGCACATCGGTAGAATCTATAATTGTGTATAGACTGAGTTACACTGAACGTCGATCTATATTTTATCTCTGTCTTTTGCACTTGGTAGGGAATAGGGAAATGCTTTTTTAGTAGGTGTAAACGGACTTGATTTGCCCGACCTGAGAAACGTCATAGCATAAGCGTAGACGAGGGGTCTAATTCCATGGCTATAAAAAATTTATAAATTAAAAAAACACAACTGGGACGTTTTAAAATGCTGTAATAATTAAAATTGATCAAAGTGCCGGTTATAGCAAACCGTAAAAATATTAGATGTTATGTTTTATTATGTTTTTTCAATATTTTCTATATCTTGTTGCCTTTTACGCAGACACGCCAATGGATTTTCGTTCCCGGCACGCTCCATCCCCCTTACTAGTCCAAGAGCTAGCGATGAATCACTATCTATAATTTTGGCCGTCGAGTACCTATACATTGTTACAATAATTTTAACAATCTTGTAAACTTTTTATGCAGTTTATGAAACGTAAGAAAAATTATTTTCTGGAGCAAAAAGCGCTTTTTGTATAAAATATAACACTGCATTGAAAAAAAAAATGTTTTTAATATTATTATATTTGTCTAAAACATATATGTATCTAAAAAAAAACAAATTTATATTTCTTTGAAAATAAGAAAAAATTTTTTTGTGTACCTATTCTTCAATGGCAGCTGAAGATTGAAATTATTCAAATAATCAACAACAAAGATATACATACAGGGTGTAGATGAGATTAGCCCCCCTCCCCAGTCGGACTAGGCCCGGTGGATAATAAGCCAAACATGGATAACGATCACGATCTGCAAATATTAAAAGTATGTTTCACAAACGATTTGCTGACAAAAATATACTCCTGTTTGGATTCGGTAAAATCGACGGTTTAGGAGAAATGTTCTATTTTTTAAAGCAGTGCATACTGACAGCGTGTCTACTATTTTCATAAGAACAATCATTATAGCTAATAAAACTACTGATATACATATAATTACTGCTGAATAAGAGTACATTAACATAGGAATAAAAAATGGTCAAAATAATTATTTCATTACATTTTAAATGTCAATCAGTATTAAAAAAAAATCCAATTTAATTTTTCACTAGTTATGAATTTATGTTTAATAAATAACTACACTCATGGACAAAATTATCGAATATTTAATTAAAAATGTTTATAATTTCTTCCTGAAAAAATCTTTATTGTACTTGGAGCGGGATTTCTTCTTCGCATTTGGCGTTTTAGCTCATCCCACATGTGCTCTATTGGGTTTAAGTAGGTATGGACTAATTAGACACAATGCCAGCAGCATGTGGCTGAGCGTTATCGTGGATATTAATGCACGATAATCTTATTTCATATCCAATATGGTCAATATATGGTAAAACATGATCTTGAAGGATATTTTTGATATACCTCTCAGCAGTCAATCATCCAATCAGTTCTACGAGGTTGGAAGCGTCCCTCCCAACTAATGCTTCGCCAGAGCATTATGCCGCCAACTAACGTTATGTATGAGATTGCAGCTGACGTACCGCTCTCCAACTCTTCTGTAGATGTATTTTTAAACAAATGATCATATCCGCTTACTAGATGAATAATTTTAATACATATACAAGTTTACTGCGATAATTTAAAAATATTTTCTAGTAATAAAGATAATAAAAAATATTCGATAATTTCGTCCATGAGTGTATTATTTTCATACAGTATTAGTATTATTAGTTATTAGTTTTATTCTTTTTCTTCTTTTCTTCAAAAGCCACTACGGCTTCTTTAATAAAAGGTAGATCTTTGCACCTTGTACCTTGACCTATACAATTCGTTACAATTTCAGGAGCAATACACTCTTGAAAAAAATTGAATTAGTTTTGGAACCATATTCTTCCAAAAATGCTCATCTTTATATAAAATAGCATTTTTCTTTGTTGGCAACATTCAATTGCCCCTGTATCTGCAACAATAGAAATATTCAATATTACTTTTAAAAATGGAATGCTGAGGGAAACAGTTCTTATAAAATTAGCATTAAGTTTTCATCTAGGTACCGGTATTTAAGTTAATATTTTTGTCACAATGTTTTAGAAAACTGTCATCGTCACCAATTATCCTGATCCTTGTATTTATAAAAAAATTGTTTTGCTTTTCATTTGATTTTTGCAATGATAAAATTTTAAAAGAAATGATGGAATATGATATAGCTACATACATGCTTAAATAATCTGTTTTTTTACATTTTACTAAGTAACAATGGATATATCTAATAAAAATGATAGAAATAAAGCATGGCGTGTATGACTAAGCATATTATTTTTACTCACCTGGTAATAATATATGTGATTTTTTTTAACTGTATCTTTCCGTCCTTTATTTCCAAACAAATTTTATTTTTTAATGATTTTATAATTTCTTCCCATGTATATGTAGGTAGTGTTAATTTCGACGCAGAAAACAAGCATTTTATTTCTACTAATGCATTTTCAGATTCTAGTACACCTAAAACAGTTATTTATAGTTAGCTATAATAAACAGTTTGCTTACTTTCCATAGTAATTTGTAAAAGCAATGAACAAAAGTAGATTTACCATCTGGAGAAGCTCCCAAAAATCCATAATTTGTATCTACCCACAAACCTGAATTTATAACTTTTAAATTCGTTTTATTTTCAAATATTGCCAATGCTACCTTTTCTTTTGCAATACCAAATTCTGTAGCTTCTGACCAGAAGTTGATAGGTTTAAGACAAGCTTTAACTAAATTGTGGCAGGGAGTGTGCGGCTTTCTTTTAATTATGCGGCCAAACATAGAGGCAGTCAATCTCTGTCTTCTCTCCAGCTCAAAAAATTCATTTCCAAATTGACCTATTGTTTTATGTTCAATTTCACACCTACTTTCTTCAGTTACCTGGAATTATATACATATACAGATATGGAGAGTTATGCATATTTTCATAAAAAATTAAGATTATTACATTTAACCTGTTGATCACTTCTTCAACTTCATTTATAACCATTGGTTCATCATCAACCTCTTCAACATTTGGTCCATAGTCCGTATTTTGTGTATTGTGAACAATTTTGGTTTTCTTATTTGGTTTTTCTTTATTATCATCGAAAAACAAACGTTTTCTACATTTCGTTGCTTGAATATTTATTTTATCATCAATTTATTTTTTTAAATATTTTCCTGGACTACTACCTGTCACTCCTTTATATGGACTATAATGCCAACTGAAGTTTTTATTGTGTCTCAGCGCTGTCAAACAAACTCGCCTTTCATAGGAACCACGCTGTATAAAATTTAACCTCTTACCAGCGTTGAATCGAGCTACAATATTCATCAATCGTTCAGCTCTGTTATTGTTTTCATTTTCGATTAACAAATGAGCCTTTCCTACTAGAACATCCAAATCACCTAAAAATTAATAAAAATGTGACAAATTCTAGTGTCCAGTGCAACTAAACACTTTATTGAAAACATATCTATAACGTTTTGGGGCCACGTTTAGCCAGCTCAAGCAATAGCAGGATTAAGAGAAACTCTGTATACTTGGTTAACCTTTTATTGCGCGTTACGTTCGTCAGGGTACATACCGAGAGAGAGCTGTCACCCAGCTTGCCTCGTATTTATATACATATCGGCGCATGTGCGCATCTATCAATACGCCACACCCCCATTTTTAGTTGCCAAAGACCCTTTTACCTACTTAACACTTTAAAATCCTAGGTACAAACACTTACAATTACAATACATTAGTTTAAAATATTCCCTATCACTTGTGGATACAGTAATCTAATAAAATCTAGGTCTGTGACCAATTTCCTTTTATATTTTCTATTTGAGTTAAGCTCAACTACTTATTTATTGAGGGGTGCTAGCGTTACTATAAAAAGTCTACTTTTAACATTATATTCCTCTATGTTATGAAATCATTAAACCTTTGTGGTTTCTTCCTCACTCTCTCTGGTCGACTTCGGAGCGTCCTCTCCCTCTCGGGCTGTTGGTCCGTCCCCCTTATCGGTTGTTCCCGGGCCGTCTTCTCCCCGGTTTGTTGTTCGGTCGTCTTCCCTGGTACTCTTTCTTCCTCGTCGCATCGCTGGCTCATCTGCTCTGCTTGCTCGGCTGCGATGCCCTGGTCGGTGTTCTTACTGCAATTTTTATTAGTGTTAGTTTCCCGTTCAAAACCGCTTAAGTCAGTGGCATCACTTCCACTTTTGTCACACTTTTTAGGGTCATTTTCAGTCAATAACACTATTTCGTCCAAAACACAGTCAGTCTCTTTCACATTATTGTCTATATTGTCTCCAGTGCATACATTGTCTTTATTTACATAACTATTACTTACGGTCTTCTGTCTATGGCTATCGTTTATCTTACTTGAGCTGTCGCACGGTTTCGCTGTGCCTGCCTCATTGGGTTCTCGACCTGTCTGTAGCTTTCCGATATTTATGATCTGGTTTGAGTGCCGCTTCCATGCTTCGCCCGTTCTCAGCCTACATAAGAACGTGGATCTCCCTAGTACTCTTTCAACCTGAGCTTCTGTCCACTGTCTCGTGTTCACTTTCCGGTAGTCTCTCACCATCACGGCTTCTCCCACCTTAAATTGTCGTCTTTTACTCTGGCTATAGTGCTTCCGTTGCTTTTCTTGAGCCCTTCGCATGTTTACTGAGACCGCCTCGTTTCTTTGGAGTCTCGGTTCCTGCAAGAAGTCTAACCTGTTTCGCAGATTCCTCCCCATTAACAATTTCGATGGGGTTTCCTTCGTCGTCTCATGAATGCTGGTCCTGTAATTTAGCAAGAATCTGGAAATTAAAACAGACATTTCAACATTTTTATTTCTTTCGTCTAATAGGGCTGCCTTGATTTTATTTTTAAAAGTTTTCACCATATTTTCGGCTTGACCGTTTGATTGGGGGTTTGCCACTGGCGTGGTAATATGTTTAATTCCGTTCCGTTCATAAAATCTTTTCATGTTTGCTGCCGTGAAGCTCTTGCCGTTGTCTGTGACAAGCGTTCGAGGCAGTCCAAACCTGGAAAAAGCGTCTCGGAATTTTTCTTCCGTTACCTCACTTGCTAGTGCCCTCACTGGGTAGACTTCAGGAAACTTGCTGTACGCATCAACCATTATTAAGAAGTACTTCCCCTGAAGAGGCCCTAGGTGATCCGCATGCACTCTTGACCATGGTTCCGTTTCCACTTGCCAGGGCGTGAGTTCGGCTTTAGGAGGGTCTGCTCTTTGGTGGAGACACGGCATGCAGGCTTTTACCGTGGCCGCAATGTCTTCGTCCATCTTCGGCCACCACATATAACTTCTGGCTGTCGCCTTGGCTTTCGCGATGCCCAAGTGCGAGGCGTGAAGTTCGTCCAACATCCTCCTTCTTAATCGGCTTGGAATGATGACCCTATGTCCCCATACTAGCATATCTCCTTCGACAACTATCTCGTCTTTCCTGACGAAGTACGGTCTGAGCTCTTCTTCATCTAGCTTGGTCCAGTTACCCTGTACTTTTTCCCGGACCTTCCTCAGCACCTTGTCCTGCCTACTCTCTTCTGTCACCGTCTTACTGTCGACTGGCCATCCTTCATAGCTGTGAACATAATTAAAATAATTTTCTTTGCCCTCGTAGTCTTTGTCTACGGTTTTAATCCTCAACGGCGCCCTTGACAGATAATCTGCCAGGTGATTATTACAACCCTTAATGTACTGTATTGTATAATTGAAATTTGCCAAATAGATAGCCCATCTTTGCAATCGATTTGCATGCATTATAGGGATCTGATTGTACTCGCCAAAAATAGCCAATAATGGCTTATGGTCGCATTTTAACGTAAACTTATGACCGATTAAATATTGCTGGAATTTTCTTACCCCAAAATAGATAGCCAGTGCCTCCTTGTGTATTGTTGAGTACGCCTCTTCACTAGGGCTCAACGTTCTCGAGACACATGCTACGGGCTTCTCTTCTCCTTTAACTAAATGGCTTAAGGTTGCTGAAATACCGTAATTACTTGCATCTGTGGTGACGATTATGGGCTTATCGGGATCAAAATGCACCAGAATCATGTCCTCTGCAATGAGGTGCTTTACTTCCTCAAACACTTGGCTGCATTCTTTATTCCACCGAAATTTACTATCCTTCTTCAGCAAATTGTATATGGGCTTTAGCTTCGTGGCCAAATCTGGAATAAACTTGCTATAGTAGTTGACCATTCCTATGAAGCTTCGGGTTTCACTGACGTTAGTGGGTGTCGGTGCCGCTACGATCGCCTCCACTTTATCCTCAGTCTTCTTTATACCTTCCTTTGTTATTTTATGTCCCAGGTACTCCAGTTCATCCTGGAAAAACTTGCATTTGTCCGCTTTTACAGTCAGCCCCGCGTCCTGCAATTTCCTCAATACATTATCTAGCATCCTAATGTGCTCCTCGTCATCTTTTCCTGTAACTAAGATGTCGTCAATGAAATTGCTTACATTCTCCATACCTTGAAATAATTGCTCTAAATGTCTTTGGAATATGGCAGAAGCTGGACTAATACCGTAAGGCATTCTATTAACTTTATATAAACCCTTATGCGTGCTCCAAGTGAGCAACTGCTTCGCATCGTCATCTAATTCGAACTGGTTATATGCCTGAGATAAATCAATTTTAGAAAATTTTTTACCTTGATGAAGCTTTGAGAATATCTCATCGATTTTAGGCAAAGGGTACCTAACCTCTTCCAAGTATCGATTCACTGTCGATTTATAATCTCCACACACCCTGATTTTGCCATCAGTTTTGAGAACAACTACCAACGGTGTTCCGTGCGGGCTGCTTTCGACCGGCGATATCACTCCTTCGGCTTCCAATTTCCTCAGCTCCTCCTCCAGAGGCTTCTTAAATGCTATTGGCACGTTCCTTGGCTTGCAGAAGACAGGTCGAGCCCCAGGCTTCAGCTGTAATGAGACTTTACTTAGTTTAAAACATCCTAGCTTTTCACTAAATACGTCGCTGTATTTACTAACTAATCCATTCATTACATCACCCTTAACTACCGTATTGACCATGCTCAATTGTATCTTAAAATTTTTCATGAAATCTCTTCCCAAGATACTAACGGTACCTGAGTGCACTACATAAAATTTAACCTTCTTTGTTATGTTATTATATGTTACATTAGCCACTATATAACCCCTGGGTTGAAATTCTAGACCGTTATATCCCTTCAATACAAGGGCATCTTTTGATAACCTATAATTGCTTGCAAAGTTTCTGAAATAAGTCTTTTCACTTATGCAACTGACAGAAGCCCCACTATCTAAGTCCATACAAAAAATTTTACTGTCTATTGTTACATTAACTGCAAACGGATTTTGCCTATTGATTATATTTTGCACTGTTAATATGTTCATATAATTCAAATGCTGCTGCTCTCGACATGCCGCTTTTAAATGGCCTTTTTTTCCACACTTGTTACAATAATAGTTCAGGTACTTACATTGTCCCTCATGTTTCTTATTGCACCTCTTACACAAATTTCCACTGGGCTCATCCTGCCGTTTGTCATTGTTTTGAACCCTACTCCGCCATCTTGTCCTCTGACTTGTCGTGGACGTCTGCGTCGGCCTGGCTCCTCCCCCTTCGGTTGACCTTCCGGCGCTGGACGATTCCTTCCTACATCCGGTCTTCCATCGCGGGAACTTTGAATTCTTGAGCACGTGCACCTGAGCGCTGTCTTCTACCACTGCTTCCTTCTGCAGCGCAATTTGCACCAGATCCTTGATGGTCTTCGACACGGGCTCCTCACAAAGACGGTCCTGAATTGCCTTTGATACTAAGCCTGTTACAAACTTGTTCTTCAGGTGTCCCTCCAATTCTGCATCGAATTGACAGTTGGCTGCTTGTCCCCTTATTCTTGCACAGAACTCGCTTACTGACTCGCTTTCCACCTGTTGAAGCTGGAAAAACCTGATTCTTTCCCTCCATATGGATTTTCGTGGTCCCAACTGATCCTTTAATATGTCCGTTAGTTGCTGGTATGTTTTTTCTGCTGGCTGCGCGGGGTAACAAAGGTCTCGCACTAGTTTGTACGTACTAGTACCTATTACACTTAACAGCGTCGCGACTTTGATTTTCTCTTCAAGTATTTTGTTGGCACAAAAATACTGTGTTAATCGTTCACTATAAATTGTCCAGTCGTCGCTCGACAAATTGAACTCCGTTACTTGTCCGATCAACGCCATTTTTACCCGTTACTTGCACGCCGCACTCACGCACGTGGTCACTACAAGTCTTGGAAAAGTCCGTTCCAGGGACGTTCTCCACACTCCGGCCGCGTTACCAATATCCTCGTCGCCAATTATAACGTTTTGGGGCCACGTTTAGCCAGCTCAAGCAATAGCAGGATTAAGAGAAACTCTGTATACTTGGTTAACCTTTTATTGCGCGTTACGTTCGTCAGGGTACATACCGAGAGAGAGCTGTCACCCAGCTTGCCTCGTATTTATATACATATCGGCGCATGTGCGCATCTATCAATACGCCACAATATAAATATACATATTTTCTCTTACTTCTAAGATGATTATACATCATTGTCCGCTTCAAGTCAGGTAATAAACTTTCTTTATTTTTTCCCGGAGTGTTACATATTTCCTGCCGACAATTAGAATGATCTCCAAAAACATGATGTAAACCATTTCTCAAGTCTTCCCGTAGCAAATTTATATCACTATTATCCCTCTTAGCATTCTTATATATTGGCTCTTTTAACAAGGAGATTCAATTTTTTTATAGTTAAAAGTTTTCTACCTTCTAAATTTATTTGTGTGTCAGCCTTAGTTTTTCTAAGTCGTTTACCATAATTCTTTAGACAATGGTTTGTGCATTCTATTTTCTTTACATCTCTTCCATATGTCACGCACTGCTAAATCTTGGCAAAAACATTAGAATAGCCATCCCCTACAAATTTCAGGTAACGGAGGTTGAAATTCTCACTACAATTGAAGCCATCCACTATTATATCAGACTCCATGGCAGGTGCTGAGCCCTTCCAATTTTTAAAACATACATGATTTTTTGGCGTTTCATTTTTGTTGTGAGCTCTGGCACAAACTGAACAAAATTTATTTCTAATTCCAACATACAATAGCTCTCCTGTATTTTTTTCCAATAATTGCTGCCATTCCAGTAGTTCCAAGGCATTGTAGTTTGTTCCATAGGAACGTTTACTCCAGGAGTACCATCAGGACAAATTTGTTGCCTATCTATTGCGATGTCTCTCTCTTTAGAATTAGCAATTTCCATTGATCTAAATAATGAGGCGTCCCATTCCTACAAACAAATTACATGTACGTACGAAATATTACTGCATTTACTGCAGCAGTGGCTGTCGTTGTTGCAGCCACATATGCCCATATAAAAGTGTACTGGGTCACGTGCCTGATTAGCCAATAAAAACAAAGGACGCATCTAACTGTTCGCTGTGCACACATTTTGCATAAGAGATTGCATATATTAAGGAGCGTAGCTCGCGTCGTAATAAATAATAATATAAGCTCCTAGATTTATTTTAGCGCGAGTACGTTTGGATTCTTTAAATATTTTGTTGATATTTAATATGATTAAATACATAAAATTTTATGTGTTCTGCAGCTCCGCAGCTCTTATGGTAAAATCGCCACTACCTCCACAACATTTCTTCAGTGTTTGATGCGTACTAGCACTTGGTGGCAAGATAATGTAGACATTTAAAAAATATTTTTTTGTTCCCAAACTGCTCATTTAATCAAAATTCTACAAGAGACCCAAAAACTTCCAAATGATATCACCTATCAAATAAAAAATAGTTGTTTCTATTGCCCGAAAGAGGAAAAAGTTATGAACGGATATTATCACAATACATCAATATCTTGAGTCTACGAATCTGTGGTCTTCCGTTGTACACGTTATTCTGGGACACCCTGTATGTATATATGAGAGGTTTCACGTCAAACGCAACAAAGCTGTGTTACAGGTTTATTTTATTTTGCCTAACTTATCATCTTTAAGGTCATTCCCAAGAAGAGAGAATAAATTATGAGGTGCAAATGATTGGTTAGGGTAGTTTTATTAATTTTATTCACATATGTTTTCATTATGTATTACTAGGAGTGCGTTCCACTAAGCGTTCACAACGCTAAAAATATTCCTTCAGCCGTTCCACATGACGACCACGGCCGTTATGGTCGCGGCAAAAACGTCACTAATGACGTTATTATTTTTTTCGCTCACGCCAAGCTCACAACGACCCATCTAAAGAATTGGGTCGAAGTGGACATTGAGACGTTCGGCGCAATTTTTTAAAACTTAAAGATGGCGACAGGAAAAATTTCTTTGTATGATTCGGAGAGATATTTTAGTGGAAGCTTATGTTTCTCTAGCAGATGCTCAACGTGCGGCTACAGGTAAATATAATTATGTTAAATAAATTTTGTAAAATTAATTTTAGTTTATATTCAACAGCCATCTATACATTTTGCCTTATTTGTCACTAACATAACCTAACTTACTTAATAATGTTTATTTTCATTGAGAATATATGTCTTTCATAAAAAATTTATTTGTTTGTAGACATATTTTTTGCTACACAGCTATTGAAAAGAGTTATAAGTCAGGAACCACAATCCTCTACATCTACTAATGTTGATTATGAGAATTATGATTGCGATAATGATGATACTAACGAGAATTTTATTAATGAAGAAGCTCTTGATATTGAGGACATAGGTGATCTCAATTCTGAAACTCAAGAAAGTGAAGGTACATTAAAAATAATAAATTATACAGGGTGTTAGTAAATAAGTGCGACAAATTTCAGGGGGTGATTATACATGAGAAAATAATAGCAATTTGCTTATAAACGTATGTCCGCAAATGATTCGTTTTCCGAGATACGGGGTGTCAAAGTTTTTGTTAAAAACTGACAATTTAATTTATTGCTCTGAAACCGGTCGAGATGTGCAAATGAAATTTGGTGGGTTTTAAGAGGTAGTTATTGCGCATTTTTTGATACGCAATTAAGAATGTTATGTTCATCATTGGCGCGCATACGGGTAATAATCTCAATTTTTTTAAAGAAAAAAATGGTACGCCACTGAGATATTACAAATTAAAAATCATTTTTGAATTTCTCGTTCAATTTGTGACAAAAAATCTCTCTTGCCTTTTCTTCGTATGGGGCGCCGTTTTGAAGCAAAAAAATAAAACATCTTAACGCGTATTTTTTATTTCTTTAATACATTACCTAGTAGGCTACTGTCAACATTTGTCTGTTAAATACGAATATTTTTAAGAAATGTCAAATTAGCGTTTCGTCATTATTAATTTATTAAGCTTTTAGTTTGCTATAACATTAGTGTTAATAAGTAATTAATTTTTCTTTTATCGAAAAGAATGGAAAATTTTACAAATGCGGAATTGTCAGACATGCATTTTGTCTATGGTCGAAGTAATGGAAATGGTCGGCAAGCTCGACGATTGTATGCTGAGTTGTATCCAGGACGTAGGGTACCTCATCACACAATATTTGCTCGTCTTCATCAACGTTTGCGCGAAAATGGTTCATTTAAGAAACAAACGGTTGACTGTGGGCGCCCTCGAGAAGTACGAACTGTGCAACTAGAAGAAGCAGTTCTCGAGTTAATTGCGGAGTCACCTGAAACAAGTACTCGAAAAATTGCCAACATATTGAATGTAAGCAACTTCACTGTATTTAAAATTCTTAAAGAACAGCAATTGTATCCGTTTCATATTGAACGTGTGCAAGCTCTACTACCTAGAGACTTTTTTCCGCGCCTATTTTTTTGCCAATGGATTAATCATCAAATCGCTCAAATTCCTAATTTTTTAAATGCCGTTTTGTTTACTGACGAGGCTACTTTTGGACGACAGTGTATACGAAATTTCCATAACAATCACTTATGGGCTGAGGAAAACCCCCATGGAATCTTTGAAGCTCATTTTCAGCATCAGTTTTCCGTAAATGTATGGCTTGGGGTAATTGATGATCATTTAATCGGTCCATATTTCCTCCCACAACGACTAACAGGCGAATCTTATCTTAATTTCCTACAGGAAGAGTTACCTGTTCTTCTTGAAGAAATTCCTCTACAGCTGAGACAACACCTATGGTACATGCATGATGGTGCACCAGCCCATTTTAGCATTAATGTACGTAATCACTTAGACACAGTATATCCAAATCGTTGGATAGGTAGGGGAGGTACGGAACATTGGCCTGCTCGATCGCCGGATTTAAATCCTCTTGATTTTTGCATTTGGGGTTTTCTTAAGTCATTAGTTTATTCCACTCCCGTTGAAAATGTTGATGACCTGAGGAATCGAATTATAGTCGGCTGTGAGACAATAAGAAATATACCAGGAATATTTGCGCGAATACGACAATCAATGAGGCGAAGAGTTGAATCTTGTGTCACGTCTGAGGGAGGTCATTTTGAACATTTGTTGTAGCTTTGCGCCTTTTCAAAATTTTATTAGTGTTATTTTCTGTTATTGTTCTGGTTTAATGTTATTGTATTAGATAGTTCTTGATAATGTATTAAAGAAATAAAAAATACGCGTTAAGATGTTTTATTTTTTTGCATCAAAACGGCGCCCCATACGAAGAAAAGGCAAGAGAGATTTTTTGTCACAAATTGAACGAGGAATTCAAAAATGATTTTTAATTTGTAATATCTCAGTGGCGTACCATTTTTTTCTTTAAAAAAATTGAGATTATTACCCGTACGCGCGCCAATGATGAACATAAAATTCTTAATTGCGTGTCAAAAAATGCGCAATAACTACCTCTTAAAACCCACCAAATTTCATTTGCACATCTCGACCCGTTTCAGAGCAATAAATTAAATCGTCAGTTTTTAAGAAAAACTTTGACACACCGTATCTCGGAAAACGAATCATTTGCGGACATATGTTTATAAGCAAACTACCATTATTTTCTCATGTAGAATCACCCCCTGAAATTTGTCGCACTTATTTACTAACACCCTGTATATTTATCCTGCTTTTTATGTATATTTCAGTTTCTATATACAGGTGGAGTCCATCCTGTGTATTTTTACTATTGCAAACATATAGGTTCATGGAAGAAACCCTCAATAGTGGAAAATTATCCCAAAAAAAGGTGTGGGAAGAAATTGCCAAGGAGCTAACAAAAAAAGGATACAATGTAACTGGACCGCAATGTTCTTCTAAGCTACGAAGTTTAAAAAAACATAAATCCATAAAGGATCATAACAACAAATCAGGTAATGATAGGAGTTGGCAGTTTCTTGAAGTTTGTATAAATCTTTTAATATCCTGTTTAATTTTTAGATATAATTAAATTTTCTATAATTACAAATAAATGTCTAATTAATAAGATATATTTTATATAATTATTTTAATATACTTTTTCTAGATAATGGAGGAAATTTTTTCCAAAAGGCATGGTGCCAGCCAGTTGCAGTTGCATCTTCCACTGGTCTTTCATCGAAACAGTCAGAAAGGAACGATAGTGTGGGAGAATCTAATGGCGGACGTTCATTAAGTGAGTTAATTACGTAATTTTTTTTTATTTGTAACTAAAATAATGTACAAATTAAATTTCATTCCAGAATCAAAAACAACTACAATAACAACTTTATTAGGGAAAATATTGAAGCAAGGAGAAGAACATGAAGAACATAAAATGAAAAGGCACAAGGAGCGAATGGAGATGGATTCAGAATTACTTAAAGTTTTAGAAAAGTTAGCTGAAAAATAATAATTAAATGTTAAATTCTGCATAAAAATCAGTTTTTAAGCATTAAAATTATTTTCATAATTTAATATTACTTTTATTAAAGAAAAATATATATTTTGTAATACCAAGGACATTTAAATAAAGGGGACTTATTTATTTACATTTCTAGATGAAGCCTGGTCTATTCACAGTCTAATTGTATCATTGTTGTCAGCTGTATAATTATACTGGAAATGTACTTAATATTTTTATCGCAATTTTCATCACAATTGTGAAAATTATTATTATAGGATAGTATTATTAAGTTATGCATACAATATTGTTAAATTCTGTACATATTAAACTATTTTTCATTTTTCATATTTGCCATGTTTGAAGACTTGGCAACTACGCAATAATTTGTAGCGTGTTCCTCGTTCGTTCTGCCGTGGTTGGCAGAATATGGCGTCTCTTGTTAGAAAATAGTTGTGATTTTAGTAAGTGAAACGTGATTAGTGTTTATACATGTATTTTGGATAAACTTTTAAGGTGTGAATATGGTTAGACAGTGCAGAATTTGTAAGAAATTGGATTATAAACATCCACATCAGCTATCCTTCCACAGGTAAGCGTGCTTGAAGGTGACTTTGGAATGTATATGCAACTGTGGCCATTGTCGTGCGTGTGGGTAACTTTTATTTGAATAACGGTAAAATTTTATAAAACTGACTTGGTATTTTTTTAAAATTTTTGCTGAAATAGTAAGAAAACAATAATATGAACCACGTTTGGCCATTAAAATCAAAGGAAAATGCTGCACCACAAATAAGTTACAGACATTATTTATATTTAATATATTTATAGGTATTTCAATGTTATCCCTTATACCCAACATTACAAATTTTAATCATTCATCATTTTCATTTTCCTCTACGACAAAAACCTTTTCAAAAATATATTTACAATTTTACTAAATGCACGAGCATAAAAACTGAATAAATACAACAGCAAAAATATGGTGGTGGTTCACTTATACATAAAAATACCGAAGATGCAATCAACTGAAAGTTGCATTCATTCAACCATTTGATGTTCTCCTTTGGGAATATATTTTTATGTCTCACTGAAAATTTGCCTCAGTATTCTAAAAGTGAAATGTGAACGTTTTTAGGATGCTTGGGGATGGTGCAACAAGAAAGAAATGGTTACAGTTATTGGGATTCCAAGAAGTTATAAAAATATTATATATATTTATTATAAAAATACTGAGTAGCTGTTGAAATATATTGACTTAGGACTATAAAATATTTTATTTTGACCCATCCAAAATGTACGACATTGGAGATGTAATCGCGCGCATCAGTTGGATGAAAATAAAGCCCTCTGCTTTCCCCTTGTCTAGCTTCACCCTAGATATGAGATAGACTGTGACATGCATAGTCCCCTTTATTTAAATGTCCTCGTGTAATACAATATATTTAATAAAGTTTAATATAAAATGAAATGTGTGATTTTTCGAATTTTTATAATTACAATTAAATAACATACAATTTTTTTATTATTTAAAATTAAGTATCAAATATTTTCTGGAAAATTGAAAATTTTCGAATATGCACGAAATTATGGTTTTCGGTCAGATTTTCAATAATCGAGTTGTCATCAGATTTCGATGTTTTGAAGTCCTAAAAAGATAGTCTGATTATCACTAATTTTTTTGAGTTTTTATCATTTTTACAAGGAATTCATAATGATATCTCTTTTAAGAATTCCTGCATTTCGCCTTATTTCACGTGAATAGTTTCCATTATTTTCTTGATTACATTCAGGTATAGTGATAACAATTACTTCATCTTCTCATAAAATACAGATATTATGAATTACGCAGCATGCAACTAGTGGCGGCTCGTGGCTTTTTGAGATGGGTGGGCAAAATATTTTTTCTCATGTAACTTAATATCATATAATAATTGCAATCTACGTTAGTCTATTTACTTTTGAAAGTGTAAAAAACTTAAGAATTATGAAAATAGTTAATATAAATATACCTGAAAATTATATTAGTTATTCCAAAAGTATAATAGTTCAGCAAGAATAAACGAGAATGTCATCACAGTGATTTCTTGCAGGGATAGGGGCTAAGGCAAAGATTAAGGCATAGAAGGACATATAAAAAATAATATAATTCTCTAAACAAATAGTAAAATTCTCTATCACTTTTATAGCAATAGCACATACTGAAATTACTAACGATAAATTATACTAAAATTCTAATAAGTAAATAAATTAATTAATAAATAAGTAAATAACCAAATCAATAAGGCGCTTTATAATGTCTCTATTTTCGTCCACGACTTTATTATGTTTTAAAATATTCTCACGAAATGCAGAATCAAGAAAAGTTTGAATGTTTTGTTTTCGTAATAATTTGAAGTTTAATGTTGAATATGTATGCTCCCCCGATCGCTTGTGTTTTTTTAGAGATTTATATTTTCAGATCTGAATATCCTAGGTAATTTCACGGAGTTTTACTTTTTTCATGAAACTGTAAGCAATTCCAACAATAAAATTTGTTTCTGGTTTCACTACCTGTTAACCACTCATATTTATTGTACCAATTTTTACTAAATGATCTGTTACTTTCGCAATTGTTTTTATTTATTAAATTTTTCATGTCAATCGTAGGTTTTAATTTTGAAATAAATAATTTATCATCGAAAGTTAACATACATTTCCATTGCTACTCACCAATTCGCGATTTTCGGCTTGCCATTTTGCTTTACTCCAAACTATTAAACAATAAAAATTTACCTAAACTACTACTACTAACCCTAACCTAGAACATACAAACAACCAGGTCGTGAAGTACAAGGAATCAAAAATAAGTAAGTACCCAAGTGAAGTCGAAGGGTTGCCCGGAGAGTAGAGTTATTTTATGTAATTATGTATATTCAAATGATAATTTATTAAAAATTTGATTGAAATAAACAAAATATATTAAATAGAAGCTAATTTTTTTTTAAACCGAACAGTTTCTTTATTATTAGAAAAAATAAATATCGCATATCGATAAGTATCGAATTTAAAAGTCCTAAAAATAATTTATATCACTTCCATATTTACAAACTCAAATCTATTAAACTATTGAAAATTTCTTAGCAATCACTCTTAATTTAGTTTAACAGTAACGCGTTAAAATAATCTTCATAATTATAATTGTCGAAGAACATTCTACATAACAGCATAGATATTTATTTTTTAACGCGATTTACAAATTATTATAAAACGGTTTATTACTTCGTTTATAATATTAAAAATTGTTTTCTGGAATACCTTTGCAGGGAAAAATTGTTCTAATGTTCAAAAATTAATTTAAAGAACAAAATTACAGCAAATATATATACGTATATATATATATATATATATTTCCAGCCACTAGTGAAAAGTCTTAGGTGGCCGATATAACACTCGATGGGTGCTCAATGGGTATATGCGAGCTGTGTGCGGTGTGCGGGCTCGCCCGACTTGGGCAAAATATTCTAAATTAGTGAACGACTTACGTTTTCGATTATTGTCTAGTCCTAGGTGCGTATAAGCATGCAAGGTACGGTTGGGGTACGGCGTTGTTTAATTCAGCGGCCACGGGCTAGCCCGAATGTTATGTTGGTTGCTGCCGAGATCATGATTAAAATATAATTTTAAAACTTGGTAGCGGGAGTTTCAAAAGACGTAACGCATTTTAGATTTAATTTTATAAGAATTGTCAAATCACTGGTAAATATATACACAAATTTTTGTTTATTCTGAATTTTTCAGTGTGGGCACCCCTGCCCACCTCGACGAGCCGCCACTGCATGCAACAATGTACTCTGCCATTAAATCTACCCTTGTCATTGGTAGACAATGTAATAAACTCTTCATTCGTCCTTTTAACAAACCAATACATCTTTCAACAGTCACTCGAACAGCTGAATGACGATAATTATATTTTTTTGTTTTGCACTTAAATGTCCATTATCTCGATAATGAGTAAGTAAATGCTGATGTATTTCATATGCAGCATCGCCTAGAATATGACTGTTTTCTGGGAATGCATTATCATCATTTAAGTAATCTGCAACTTCTGGTAAACGAAAAACTCTGATCATGAACAGACCCAGGATGTCCGACATAACAATGTGTTGAGTTTTGTGATCACAAACGAGCTGCAAAATAATTTTAACTATATTTAAATCAATTTTTATTACCAAAATTAATCCTATGCTTAAAAATTACAATTGTTAAATACCTGCAACTGAATAGAAGGGAATCCTTTCCGATTGATATAGTCTACTGGATTTTTTTTGGAGCATTTATACGAATGTGAGTCCCATCAATAGCTCCTATTGTTTTAGGAAAGCCACTTGCTCTTTCAAATCCACGCATCACATCAATAGCACGATCTTCCATAGGCCATTGTATAAATCTCGAGGCTCTTATAAATAAAGCGTGGCAAACTCGACGTACAGCTCTTACAGCAGTAGCTCGTCCTACATTAAATCTGTCACAAACTGTCTACAATAAAAATTTAAAAAAATATATGTATATTTTAGTTATATACTTCTGAATTATATTACATGTACATCACACGGTTATTTATTTCTATGAAAATGTAACCTATAAGAATCCGTTGTAGCCATTTTCCAAAGAGCTATCATCAATTGTTGACGAGCAGGAATTGTAGGGCAATAATTGAATGTGTTTCTTGAGAGTCTAAAAAACAATTAAGAATTACATAAGTCCCTCTACATATTAAATCACTGAATGTGACAGAAAGTCATTTACCTGAAATGACTTTTGAATTCTTCATCTGAATAACGATTAATTACTTTCTCATAATCAATAATACGTGGCCTAAGTTTTCGTTCTTCACGATCTCGATTTTGTAAAATCGCATTCCACTCTTCATCTAATCTAGATGAAGTAGTTTCTGAAGTATTATTGCGATGCACCAACAAATATCCAACTGTCGCCGTAAAAGACATTTTGATTATATATCAACGTAA